CTGATCATGAGTTTGGTTGACACTTCTATATATAGAGAAAGGGCGAACAGCAATATTAAAATATTTCTTCTAATTACTTTCCTTTCAATGTGCAAAAATAAATGCACCGGGCCACTAGTACTTGAATAAGATACTTATGTAATATCAGCAATATTGCTTTCTTTCTATATAATTAAAATGCTTGGTACTCCAAATATGAATATAGTATTCTATGAACAAAGTTTTCCTATATTTAGTAAACACAAAAGTTCATATTTTTCTTAAATCCAATCATTTTATGAAGTTTGGTAAAAAGTGTATCAGATTAATTTATAGGGAGTGGGAAGGGAGTGGAAATTACTTAATTAGACTATGGCTTTCAAGGTAAGACTAAATTCACAAATAAGGGAAATTAGGCTTCTATGCTCAAAGGGCAAATTACCTTGGCACAGCTACCAACTCAATATTCATGGCATTTTAAACAATAAAAATATTTTAATTTTTGTTATAATCTTTTGTGACTATGAGAATCATATCATTCTAAGCAAAAGAAACAATAGGGAACCCTAGCTGTTTTGGCTCAGTGGATAGGGCGTCGGCCTGAGGACTGAAGGGTCCTAGATTCGATTCCGGTCAAGGGCATATGCCTGGGTTGCAGGCTCAATCCCCAGTGGGGGTCGTGCAGGAGGCAGCCAATCAATGATTCTCTCTCATCATGGATGTTTCCCGCTCTCTATCCCTCTCCCTTCCCCGCTCTCTAATACCAATAAAAACATTCGTATTTTTAAAGTCAGCAAACAAAGCCTCCCCTCTGTGTGCACGTCCACAGCAGTGCTATCCCAACAGCCCAAGGGTAGAGACTGCCCACCGTCCACCAGCGGGCGATGGATTCACAAACCTGGTCCATCGCACATGGAACATGAGCCCGCCAGGAAAAGGAGTGCAACTCGGACCCGTGCGGCGCACTGTATTATGTGTATGAAATATATTGATGCGACTTAAGAGAGATGTGAGGTAGAGTGAGAAGCAAGCTTTCTGCATTGTTACAACTGCATTTGCTCTTTTTATATTTGTGTCTTTTATAGTATAACTAGAGGCCTGGTGCATGAATTTGTGCACAGGTGGGGTCCCTCAACCTGGCCGGCAATCAGGGCCAATGTGGGGAGGGATGGCTGGCCTGGGGAAGGGGCTGCAGGAGGTTGGCCAGTCGGCCAGGCGGAGGGACCATGGGAAATTGGCTGTGGGAGCACACTGGCCACCAGGGGGCATCTCCTACATTGAGCGTCTGCCCCCTGGTGGTCAGTGTGCATCATAGCAACCATTCGACCGGTTGTTTGGTCATTTGATCACTTAGGCTTTTATATATATAGATTTTAAGCCAATACGTCCAGAGACCCATAGATTGAAACTATTTTCTGCATGGCATCAATGGATAGTAACAGTTTTCTTCAACCAGATTACAGCAGTTTAATTATTCTCTATAAATAAGTTATAGATTATTTAAGTTACCAATTATTAATTCACAGAATGTAATCAGCAAATTAAAGAAAAATAATTTTGTTGCTGTTGAACTGGGCAGGTGATATTAACACAAGAAAATAGGTTATTTAAGTACTGTCCCTGTAAGAAGAGCACATGAAAATGGACTAAGCCAGCCAACCAACCAACCAATCAGCCAAAATAAAGATACTGCTGAGACCAAATTAAATTGCATAACATTGTGATCAATTTCTGAGAAAATAAATTTATTTATTTATGTTTGTTTATTCATTTATGGAATGGGGCAGCAAGGAGATGTGGGTGGAAGTGAGGAAAGGATAAAAGGATGGCTTTACTTGCATGTACCCAATAATAAAAAAGGATGGAACCATAAAAACAATAAGCAGGCATAATATGAAATTAGGAAAGAGAGTAAGTATACCTATGGAAAGAATCACAACAAAGAATATTCTTTTTGTATTCTAGCATCGACCAAAAATTGCACAAAGAACCCAATCTTTTTGAAGAGTACTTTAGAGTATGTAGATTTGAGTGAAAATCAGCAAACTTAATTGCAAGGAGGAATAGACATGCAATTAGTTTTAATAACTTCTACATTTTTAAAAATCATCTCTAAACAGAGTTAATTTGTCACAACATGAAAATGATGGCGCTCTAAGTACTAAATATAGTACAGATTTGCAAACAAGCTCAAGCCTCCTCTCTTCATGTTACAAAACACTAAAATGCACTTCAGAGCATGAATAAAGGACTGACAGATTTAGGTTAGAATCTCAATTCCATCACTCCCTAGCTATGTGAACTTGGGCAATTTATTTAGGCTCTGTGAACCTGTTTCCTCATCTGCAAAATGGGTACAACAACAACCAACACTTATAATCATTATGAGGTTTAAACAAGATAATGTTTGCAAACATTATCAAAGTACACTGCCAGGGTTTGCAAAATGGAGCCATTATCAGTTGTTATTGCTTCTGGCCATGCTCCAAAGCCAGAGTAAGGAACTGAAGAGTTAAATGTATTTCTCAAAAGGATCAAATTACATGGCTATGCACATTATAGAAATTCTGTTTAAAGTAATATTTTCTTCCACTGTATATAAGTTAATAGGCAAGAAGGTTGACTGACTTTCTCACAAGAATTAGTTTTAAAGAACTCTGGTTATTTGAATCCTTGCTCAATGTAACGCTTCTACCAAAAAAGCATCTAGAATGAAATACCTAATTGTTCATTTTTATTAATTCTACTTTAAAAAGTATGATATATATTTCACATAATCAAGTCTCTAAAGACAATCAATAGACCCTCTATTTTTCTTTTTTTATATAAGAGATAGTATTTAAAAATAAAATTATTTTACTTTAGTAGCCAGCATTTTTTTAAAGATCTAGGAAAAGATGATTTATCTAGATGTTGGTTTTTAATGTGAAGGCAACATATTACTCATTTTAATTGTGACCTTGTCTAAGGACATTTTTGGTACACAATGCTCCCTATTTATGTCTAGGCTTCACTTAAAACAGGTTCATCAGAAAATCCAGAACGCTTTGTATGGTTTCTTTGGAATAGAACAGCAAAAATTATTGAGAAAAACATTGACAGGAAGCTTACAAATCTCTAAACAAAGTAGAAAAAGCTCAAGCCAATGAAACCAAATACCTTAGAAATTGAATCTACACAGCTACAAATGCAATACCACGAATGTGGGTAGCACTGATGCAGAGAATTCAATTCTCTATTTCCTTGAAGAAAAGGAATAGTACATGTACAATAATGTAGGAACACTACAATTTTTAGTTCCCATAACAGTGAGATATACCTAACACATTTCACTTAGAAATACCAAAACAATTTTCAATTTTCAACACCCCCGCCCCCCAAAAAAAGCTTTTATTTGAAACAATCATTATTCTAGAATATCCTACTGCTTGACAACATTAATTTCAGAAAGGTCAACTTACCAACTCTATTACTTCTACATTTCGAACTGATGGGTCAGGTGCCACCTCTGGCCAATTAGATAATTCCATGTACCCAGTAGCTTTAGTGTTGAGAATATGAGATAAAGTTCCAAGCTGGAAATGATCCCTATCTATTAAAATAGAGGAAAATATAAAATAAACAATATGAGCTGTATATAACATAGAACAGTCCTAATCAGAGCTCAAGATAATTGGCATATTACCTCAAATGTCAAGGAATAAATATAAACTAGGAAGCTCTTCATAGGTCAAAAAACTGATTTCAGTCCATAGATTACAATAATCTTCCCCATAATGGTCAATAAAAAAGCTAATCAGTCAGTGTGTTTGGAGGTGTTGCTCTGAAATGTAGCTTCTCTAAAAATTACTTTACTGTGAATATTAAGAATGACAGCACAGTTAAACAATCCATATACATGTCTTGGCACAAACACATTCAGAATTTTAATAGTTTTTCTATGAAACTGAACTGATTATCACTTTATAAAAATTAAATAAGGAAAAATATAAAAACCAAGGTATAAAATCATCTGATTCCAACTGTAATGGCTACTTGTGAAACTGTTCAATTATTCCTTTTAAAAAAGGTGGGAAAAATAAGTCAACTTCCATCTTTAAAAAACGTTTAAATATTAAAAAGTTTTTATGAAATAACTGTTCCTAGAAAAGTTTGTTAGCATACATAGAATATTTAATTAATAACAACTCAGTATTAAGATGAATTATATTCCTTATTAAATAAAGGTATCTATTTAAAATAAAAGTTGATGTCTATAAGAACAACACAGCTTTTATATATTGTTCTTTATGATTAATAAAAAAAATAAAATCAGAAGATTGAAATTATTTAGGTAAATAAGGTCCATAAAAATATAAATTTTAACTAATATAAAGCTTGCTCTAGAGGACAGATGAATGAATAGAAAGCACACTGTTTTTATATATTTATATATGCTAGTCATTTATATTTCCTAAGAGATAAATTTAAGCACATTATAAATGGAATTTATTGTCTATTTTTCAGATAACATATTGTGCACTTATATTCTAATAATAATAATAATAATAATAATACCTTTAAAAAGAGACTCAAGCAGTGGTGCAGGTTTTTGTGCTAGGAATATTTTTTTGGCATATTTACTTAAAGCTCCACTCTTCTCATTCGGAACAATAAGCTGCCTAATAAATCTTGTACGGTCTCTGATGTCGTAGTTTTGATCATACTTGCCGAGATTTAATATGTACTGGGTAAGCAATTTTGTCTGTTGGAAAAAAACCCACAACAGAACAAGATGAGAATACAGTTATTTATGATTATTGATAACTCTGGATAAACATATTTAAAGAGGTAATAAAAATGAATGGTTATGTCAAACAAATGTTGTTCCATAGGGAATATGCATTTCTAACGCTGCAAATGGAATTGTGAAGCCAAAGCACATGTCCTCTTCAGAACTGGGGAGGTGAATGCTGAGTACTGAGAAGCAGCCATGTGCTAGATTATTAAACTGCTGAAGTGGAAAGAAAGGCATCATTAAAAAAATAATCATATATGGCAAACCCGCTGAAGGGTCTACGTGAGAATAATGAATGTGGAAATACAACTAAAAACATGGCACTCAAAACTTAATCGGAAAAATATGCAGGACATCAAAACATCAGAGAGTATTAGGGGGTTGGCAAACTGCTTCTCCTGAGGTGTGTTTTATGAAGAGATACTGTCTCTGGCATAAGCAGTGTCTGCACTCTGACTGCACTCAGTTACTTTACCCTGAATTATGACCCATTAAAGCAGACACATGAATCACTGAACTGGATTACTGCAAATTATTTGCAGTGCATTTAGCTGTTACTTTTTCATAAAAGCAAGCTGCTGATGCCCTCTAAAAACTAGGATAAAAGACTCCTTCCATTTTTTCTCTCATGCTGCTTATAGCCGCTAGTAATATTGGTCATTTATTTATTTATGTAAGGGAACAACTTATTATAGTAGCTTTTACATTGCAATAAGATTTCCTAAGTCAATTTTTTAAAGTACTTACATTAACATAGAGATTTTAATATTAAACCAAAATTGAAATACTAACAAAATAGCTTTGTATTTAAACTCATTATTTTGTTGAAAAAAACATAGTTTTAATTTAGGTTACACACATACAATTCCAGCTATAAATTAAATATAGAAAATTTACTTACATAGAAATTACATAGAAAAAATAAACACCTATATTTAAATATTTTACAGATATTAGAAACATAAAATAATAAAATCAATCATGTCAGGCAAAGACAATTCTAGAACAGTAAATCCAAGTATAGGAATGGTGTGGCAAACTCATTTATAATAATGGGTGGGGACACCTGATTTGGATAGAAAGCAACCTTCTTTCAGTAACAACGTATTTAAAAAGCATTAACCTAGTTTAATAAAGTAGAACTGTAAAAAAAAAATACAAGAGAAAATGTTGATAGAGCTATTCTAAATTTGGTTATCAACAATTGCTACTTACTAATTACTAGATCATATTGATTCAACTTCAGATGAGAATAATTCTATGATTCATTTTTTAAAATTAGCAAAATATTCACCAAATGAGAAATACAGTGCAAAAGAAAGTATAATATACTAGACAGTATAATTGACTTGCTGAGACAACTGGGGAAAACTAACCATCAGCTTCCTCAAATACAGAGTAAGAATTTAGGCTTATTCTAAAGTCACTTGAGTGCTGAGATTTAGAATGTGCAACCTAAATAAATGAGAGAAAGAAAATAAGTCTGTTCACTGCAATGATATATATTTATATATTGGCTAATAGAGTGATACATTTTGCTTATATTTCTGATCCCTGAAATTAATTTTTAAGAAATGAAACTATTTCAATATGTTATCTGACAATTATTGAGTTATATCGCGAATTTTAAGTAATTAAAATTATGTAATTTTAAAAAATATGTATTTGTTGATTGTAAAATTTGTTTTACTATGTTGGTGGGCTTGTAAAACAGTTTCATTAAAATGTATTTTCAAATATAAAATTCTTTCTATAAGATAAAAACATCCATTTATAATGACGCATTGAAAACAAGCAGAATAATTACCCACTGTACAATCATTTACTTTAATCACTTTCTTAGCTGTATCTGCCTCTAATACTAAGTTATTGGTATTTCTATGAAGAATGTGTTTTTGTAAGGTCTTATTATTTTGAAATTTTTTTAAATAAAAATAAGGTTACCTACAATCTTCAAAACTGAATTTTATGATCAATAAATGTGACACTGTTGACATTTTGAAGTTACTCTTCTCTATAAACCATAATATTTTTATTGGAGAAAACACCCTTTTTATTGTATTAAATAGCCTGATAAGTGCAGAGAAATTCTGTTGAATGAAGGATATTATATTAAAATGTGTAAATATTTCAAACCCAGATATTTAGCTTTTCCCCCTCCAGTCAATAAGCCTTTTCTTTATAAGACAAAAAAATCACCAAATTTAGATACTACAAAATCAACTGCCTTCTAAATGTCATTTCACTTTAATACAAAATATAAATTTATCTAATTAAAAACAGAAGCTCCATCAAAAATCTTCATAATCGTTGAGATATTGTAAATGACAGAACTTCTAAAATAAATCTAGAACTCTTAGGACTTAATTTTTCAGTTCCTCCCTTGTTTTTATAGAGATAAATTTCAATGTCTTCTTGTTTGCAAGATTTGTTTCCAAGAATTGCTATTTGCTAAAATTTGCAAAAGCACTGTATTTGGTGAATTCAGAATCATTCCAAATGATTCTGAATAAAAATCTAACCAATATAAGTATAAGTTTCTTTACTCCCTTCCACTCTAGCCCCCCAACAAAAGCCAATATAAGACTAGGTCAATTTACAAAGCAGTTTTTCACAAAATCACATTTTTAAAATGCCACTGGTATCATGCAGCAAAGAGAGTTGCATATCAGAGTGTGTGTTGTCATCTGAAATATGTTCAACATTATACAACAACCTGATGCACAAAATTCGTGGCCCCAACTGCCTCGTGACCCTGGCTGCTTTGTGGACCCTCGCGGCCCCACCCACTGGTTGTTCCAGAAGGTCATTCCGCCATCAGGTCTAACTAGCATATTAGCTCTTTATTATATAGTATCAGCTTCATTATAATAACTCTATAGTTCAGTGAAACTATACATATCAAATACAAACAAATTTGACCATTAGTTTTATTTCAATTGGCAGAACAAGCAGATTTTGTTTGCATGCACCACAACCAATTCCTCAAATATCTCTGCTCTAGTTTTCATGACAATATCCTTTTGGCAAAAAGTAATTTTACTTTCCATGTTGGGCTTTTAAATTTATAGAAACATTTACAGCATTTCTGACAGAATAAACATCCAAAAGCTTTACTATGATTCCTTTTATTGTACTGGCAGAACAAATTTATAAAAGCTTTGAGTAAAAAAAGTAGAACTATTATTGGAATTAATTGATTTTCTATTTTAAAAGCAGCATTGTTTAGGGTCCTATTTCTGCTAATGGAACAAAAACTTAACAGTTATTGCTTCATTTTTCATATGTGCAAAAGAAAACTTGAAATAAAAATTGAACAAAATTAATTTTTAAAAAGTTACTTGATCTAAATGAGATCATGTTTCATAAAGACATATGTAAACATCTTTTGCACCTAAATATATTTGTCATTTTGAGACACAATCTTTTTCAAATAACTCCTAACTTTTCAAATAGATGCTGATACTTTTTTAGCAGATTTGTCATGTCTTTTGATTAGTGTGTCGTCAGCGATATCACTATAATTATCATGGCAGATGGTAAATGTTAATAAACATTTTGAGCATGTTAAATATTGATAAATTCAGTACTTCATTCTTCAACACATATACATTAATTTTTAAAAATTCATTGTTGCTGGGTTTATAACAACAACAACAAAACTGCCAAAATATAAACTAAATAGGTTTTAGATTTATGCTACACAACAAATGACAAAACTACTATAGCAAGAGGGCTCTGTCCACTCTCTTTAATGATCTATAGCAGGACTATTCTGTCACTCTCCTGTACATATTCCACCAAACCCAACCTCTAACTTCCCGTGTTTTTCTCTGATTCCATCAGCTGATGCTGGGAATTGCATGCTTCACACAGGCCATGGCAGAACTTGCTAGTATATCAAGTTGCCTGCAGGTGAGCACACTTACACACTTATCTCACCAGCACTAGAAAAGCAAAGGACTTAGCTTTTCCTCCCTGCCTTGTCAGGGCACACTTCATTTTATTAGCACACATTCTGCATGCTGCTCTATAAGGGAGAAGTTAGTTACGGTGTTTCTCAAAAAGGTTGAAAAAAGAAAGATGAAGTCTTTCCAATGTAGATTTTACATATAACATGAAATCTCTTCACTAAACTTGTATCTTATATGCTACTAGATTAAAAAAAACCATGGTAGACAATATAAGTACAATGTGGAAGTCTACAACTTACTGTCTTTTTAATACACACACACACGCGCGCGCGCGCGGCGAAGCCTATTGCACGAAGATTCGCGCAATAGGCCTTCTTTCCCCTGGCTGAAGGCACCGGTTTTCCTGCAGCACCCGGGACCCAGGCCTTTGGTCCGGCCACAGCAGAGAAGGAAAGCCTCTTCAGTCTTCAGTCTTCACTCTGGCCGGAGCCTTCAGCCTTCGCTCTGTGCCTGCATATGCAAATTAACTGCCATCTTCGTTGGGTTTATTTGCATGGTCTCTGATTGGCTGGTGGGAGTAGCGAGTGACACCAATTTGCATGTTTCTCTTTTATTAGTGTAGATTATTTATTCACTCTCACACACACACACAACACACACACACACACACACACACACACACATTTCAGAGAGGAAGGGAAATTCTCAGAGACAGAGAGATGGAAACATCAATGATGAGAGAGAATCATTGATCAGCTGCCTCATGCACAACCCCCACCGGGGACCTAGCCCAAAACCCAGGCACATGCCCTGACCTCCGGGTTCAAAAGTTAATGTTCAACCACTGTCCCACACTGGCGAGGCTAACTTAGATAACTTCAGAGTAGCCAAACCAGACATAAAGTCATTATAATCATAATATTCTAGGTATTATACTAACTTTCCCAATATTGTATGATTTTAGTGAACACGAGTATAAGGCTAAAACAATGTTTTTACATTATACTAGTAGTCCATTGCGCGATATCGCGTACAATAGGCCACCTGCTGCTTCTGTGGGAGCTGGCAGGAACCACAGTGCGCTGTGGGAGCCATGCTGCTTCCACGGGAGCCGGGAGGGAGCCATGCCACTTCCGCACGAGGTGGGAGGGAGCCACGCTGCTTCCACCAGAGGTGGGCCCGCCGTGTCCTCTCCGGGCCTATGCTCAGCTGCAGAGGCTGCGGGCCAGCCCCCCGTCCCTGTCCATGTCCACTCCGGCTCCAGGGGGCCAGCCCAAGTCGGGGCACGGCAGCTTGCCAGCCCTGTCTCTGTCTCCGTCTCCGCTCCAGGCCTCACCTGTGCACACAACCTCCTCCTGTCTGGTTGTGACCCGTTATGGTGTCCTGGTCTAATTTGCATATTTCCTCTTTTTATATATCTATAGATTAGTATTTACTTACCAATATATAAGAAACTCAACAGTATACATAGATTTTCTTTCTTTTATTGTTTTTGAAAAGTAACTCAGTGCACAAAGAAATCTATATGACATATGGAAATTATTAACTGATTCATTTCAAAGATTGACTTAAATGCAAAGATAAAATCTAAATCATGGAAATATACTCAGAATATCTGTAATTATTTGGTCATAAATCTTGTACAATCAGCAAAAGCAACAATAACAAAAATCATATCACAAGTGGAGATAAATTTGAGGAGTCAACCTGAAAATTCTGAATGGCCAACATCAGGTTACTAGAGAGTGAGTATGGGTAGGCAGAGAAGGCAGAAAGAGAGGGAGACGATTGAGAGACACCACAGCAAATACAAAAGAGAGAAAGATGAACACTGATGGAGAGGCAGGAGAGAATGACAGACACAGACATGCAAGAGGCAATCTATTGAAGTGTTTCACATTGATATTTCTTTCTGTCTTTCCCTGTCTCTTCAACTCTCTCTAAAAATCAATGGAAAAAATATCCTCTGGTGAAGATTAAAAAAATAATATTAATTAATTAACTAATTAATTAATTAAAATATTTACTGGTTTCCCCTGTACCTGTAGGACAAGGTCCACAGTATTTGCCACTCCAAGTCCTGGCCTGGCCTAGCTCTCCAGACCACCTTAAATATGCTGAAAGCACCAAGCTGTTTCATGACTGACCCGCTGCTCTCCTCTTTCCTTCTTCTGTACAGGAAACCACTCCTTAGAAATCCATAGTCTTATCCTTTATGAAACTTCTCTGACCTCTCTCCTCCTACTGCAGGCTTTCAATAACTTTCTCCTCTGCAGTTCCACTTTATCTCAGTACTTCTATTATAGCACTTACCAAATACTATTTCATTTTTTTATGTTTTTCTCCCCTACTAGACTAGAATATCATCTCTTTGCACAACTACCATCTATTGAAGAACCTTAAAGAAACAGGCACCTATTAATTATTAGATAGACTAATGTATGAAAAGACTTTAGCTGCTTCATCAGAGTAAAGAAGAAAGTAGGTAGAAGTAAGGATTAGCTTCTTACCTGTTTGGAGTTGGTTAAATACAATTTTGCTCCCAAATTTAAAATCTGCAGTTTTACAAGATCATCTTCATTTGTGAAGCTTTTAGCCATCTTCCTTAAAACATCAGGGGCAATTATAGGAACTCGCTCACAGTTTTCTCCAATTAGCCAAAGAATACTTGCTCTAGCCACAGGGACCTAATGTTAGAAGCAGACAATATGGTTACAAATAAGATAACAATGCTCTCCTTAATATTAACATAGAAAAGTCTTTAAATATTACCAAGGTGTTACATCTATCAATTCATTTAATGTATATCCAGGAAGTGCTCTTATATTTATGGATTTTCTTTAGTTATCAAAAAATAAACACACAGAAAATCACAAAACTGATTTCGGGATAATGTTTTAGAAAAGATTCATAGAGGAAAAATCATTGGTCTACAATCTTGATTCTAACAGAGATCTGCAAATTCTTGGGCTGAATCTGGCTGGCCATGCCCATTTGTTTATGTATTATTATTGCTGATTTATTCAACAAAGTCCATAAGAATAGCAGTTTTCAGAAAAAGTTTGCGGACCTCTGCTCTAGGGCACTGATTTACAAACCTTGATGCCCACAAAAATCATCTAGGGTTCCTACTAAAACTGCAGGGCTCTGGTATTGCTCCAACATAGTTCTGTGGTGGGGCCCAGGAATTCACATTTTTATGAAGCATCACGGATGATTCCTAAGACAGGTGGTCTGTCTGCAAACCATGTTTTGAGAGTCACGGATAATATAGAAAAAAGAGTAGATCCACTACAGGATTGATTCCAACTGTTATGTCCTCTATCTATAGCACTGGGAATATATAACACTCATAAGATCATTAAGATTTGGCTTACAAAATCATTAATCCTGGTCTATTATTTGGTCACCAACAAAATAAATAGAGATAACATAAATTTGTCCAATAATGCATTTTGGCATTAAATATTTTTAATGAAATTTTTAAAAATAATGTACATAATTTGTTTCTTAAAAATTACTGCTTTGTTACAAATTGGAAACCTTCCATCAACACCATTAAGACCATCATTTCAGAGTATGTACATTAGTTTTATTTCTATCTGTTTACTTGCATTATCCCCTATTCCAAAAGGAATTTGAACAGGTATGTAAATTAGTTTCTGTGAACATGTTCACCTAGTATGGAAAATTTGCTTTTTATAAGAAATGAAAAAGCCAATAACTATCATTAAGAGATAGCATCACAATAATAGATAACATTCTTTTTAAGAAGTCCTTTTCCAATTCCTCAAATAAAGCCCTACTATTTTCATTACAGTTTCACAACTGCACATATAACTGTTAAGGAAGAAAGTGAGAATAAGGACTTTGCCCAGCTAAAATTTTATCACAATATCCACCATCTCAAATTATTTCAAAACACCCATTTTAGGAAATAACATAAAATTATTAAATAGCCCTAAGTTGGTCTTTCACCAGAATGAGAATGAGGTAATCAAAAAGGCTTTAAAATAAAAATATGTATTTTCAAATAGTATAACAGCATCATCTTAAAATTAATATTAGAATAAGTTTAGTAAGCAAAAAATTAGCATACTTATGCAATTAAGTTTAAGTATTAAGTATAAGTAATAAGTGCAATATTAAATGCCATTGTAAATCCATTTATGCAGTATGATAAAACTGATGTCCTTACTGTGCGTATACTAATTTCTAGAAAGAAAGGGATTATTTCTCCTGTTCCAAAGGTTACACGGCATTACAACCTTGCTCCCAATCTATTACTTTAAATTGGGCTACAGAATAATATAATTGAGTGGTACATTAAACTTTCTGGTATGAAGCCATTCAGGTTGCCTGCCATAGTGAAAAGTACCTCTAAATAAGAATATATGGGCAACTTCAGATTTCAGTTATGCTAGGTTTGTTTTTCTTAAATATTTTATTACATACTGCTAGTGTAAAAGAATTTTATGACATATAACAATCTATTACCCCACTTTAAGATATTTTCTTCTGGTAACACACTTATAATTCTTTTCTGCAATTAAAAAGGCAGTCCCAAAAAGTTTTAAGAAATTGTTTCTATTCCTATTCATTAATAAACTAAGATTATTATTGTTATTTTAAATCCTCACCTGAGGATGTGTTTTTATTGATTTTTTTGAGAGAGAAAGGAAAAGAGAGCAAGAGAGGGAAACACTGACATGAGAGAAAAACATCTATCGGTTGCCTTCCATATGTGCCACAACTAGAGATTGAACCTGCAACCGTGGTTTGACCAGGAATCAAACCCGCAGCTTTTTGTTGTACAGGATGATGCTCCAAACAACTGAGCCACCAGCCAGTGCATCTATTCCTATTCATTAATATGCTAAGATTAAAATAACAATATGTGCAGGAGGCAGGTGATTGACTTCTCTCTCTCATCAATGTCTCTCTCTACCTCTCCCTTCCTCGCTAAAATCAATAAAAAGATATTTTTAAAAATAACAAAAAACCCTTATAATACATACATTTAAAACACAACTTGTTGAAAACATTAAAAATCAATAAATGCTCATGCTCACAATGAAAATCTGAAGGTAGTGGTTGTGGTTTGGGGGAGGGTGGGTGCAGAATAATATTCAGAGGTAATAAAACTAAGTAAACACTTTGATAACTTAGAAAACTTCTCCATGATAAGAAATATCAATATCAATATCAATATGCAAAACTTTCAGTGATGGCATTTTGTTAAAAAGCTTAGAAAATTGGCAAGCCCAATGTTTCTGTGCATGTGGAAGGAATCAGAATCCTAAGATTTTCAGATTTCAGCCCTCTCTCTCCCAATTAAGTATAGTAATCTCACTTGTATACCACTGACACTGATACTATGACTCCATGGCCACTATATTCAAAGATGTGAAGCAAGTGACAAAAGAGCAAGTAAGAAAATTAACCACTTTTTGTTCGCCGTGATCTTTTCAACTACAGAATATATAGAAACACTGAATTAAAACCAAACTAATAGCACACATGTATGAGATGATATAATACTTTCATTAGGAACCTCTACTTTTCAATATTTTCAAGGACAAACCAGATTGTAAATGACTTTGCCTGATTCTTTATTCTAAATGCCTGGAGCATGTGGTTAAGTGCACTTTTTAAACCTTCAACCAGAAGGCAGTTTCCACTGCCATTTTAACCCATTAACTTGGCTGGAAAGCAAATAATGATTCCTAGCTCACCACAGCAGTTAAGAAAGACGTTTAGAAAGATTTTACAGATCACTCTGTAACCAGTTCAATTTAAAAGCTATTGTGTTTCCACACCAGCCCACTGCACAGTGCAACAGTTTAAAATAAATCCTGCAAAAACATCAATTTTATTTATTTAAATTTATCTAAGGCCAAAAATCAGTAGATATCTAAATAAACTGCATACAAACAGCAAATCAGATCCAAAATTCTATATCTGGACTCAGTATGTATTAAAATTTAAGTCTAAATTAAGCTGGGGTTAACTTGCAAAATGGCAGGAATTCAGGGAGGCACCTTGACAAGAAGTACAGAAAGTACAAAAAACGTCTTTCAACTGTTCTTTTATGACATGAAACCCTTGTCTGTCCCATTAAACATCATGTGAAGTCCTGTTAGAACAATCCTCTGGTAGTATGCATTTTATTCTGGAAGAACTTTGCTCCCAAAGCAGTATTTACTACAAGTGAAAGATACTCCAAAAGATAAAATATTCACAGTAAGAACACATAAGCTGACTACACTATCAACATACATCTATTCAGTTAAAATAAAATTTAAAAGTAGGATTAATTTAAATTTTAGTGTTTACATTTTCAGCTATGTTACTTACTAGATAACAAATGGAATGAAGTTTTGAATACAGTAAAATCTATGTTCCCTTAAAAAAAAAATTACACAGCTAATATCTATTGACCTCTTACCATGTACCTGGCACTGTTTTTACGTGCTTCACCCGTTTTTCTCTATCAGTTATTACAAAAACCCTAGGAAGTAAGCTCTACCATTATCCCTACTTGATATATGAGGAAACTGGGCACAAGGGGGTTAAGAACTTGCCCAACATCTCATAGCTTGTGAGTGATAGAACTCAGACTGAAATTCCAAGCCTGAATCCAGAGTTCACCAAAGTAACTGGGCAGACAAAAAAGAGTGTGCTACACAGGAAAAATACGAGCCAGCAAGGCAAGACGGTTCCTGCTCCCAGACTAATTGTGTATATTACTAGAGGCCTGGTGCACAAAATTCGGGCATGGGTGGGGTCCCCTCAGCCCAGCCTGCACCCTCTCCAATCCTGAGGATCGGGCTTAAACTGGCAGTCAGGCATCCCTCTCATAATCCGACAAAAAAGAGTGTGCTACACAGGAAAAATACGAGCCAGCAAGGCAAGACGGTTCCTGCTCCCAGACTAATTGTGTATATTACTAGAGGCCTGGTGCACAAAATTCGGGCATGGGTGGGGTCCCCTCAGCCCAGCCTGCACCCTCTCCAATCCTGAGGATCGGGCTTAAACTGGCAGTCAGGCATCCCTCTCATAATCCGGGGGCTACTAGCCTGGTCACCCCCAACTGCCCACTCCTGCTGGCCTGGTTGTCCCCAACTGCCCCTCTTGCTGGCCTAGTTGCTCCTCACTGCCACTCTCTGTCGACCTGTTCACCCCTCACTCCCCCCCCCCCCC